GTATCCCAGTCTGGTATCCAGTGTGAGGGATGCACCACTGGTGTCTGCACGCACAGCTGGTATCCCCAAACCCACTCACTCTAACCCTTCTGTTCCTGAACTAATTCCCCTGTCCGAAGATCTTCCCATGATGGGGATCACTTTATGTTGCGTTTGGGCTGCGCACACCACCACAGACCTGCCTGAGGTGGCAACGTCCACTGTGATGTCTCCAGAGGTAGCGGCTGATGCTGCAGAACCTCTTGGGGTAGTGATGCTCGCTGCTGTGTTCTCCGAGGCGATGGCACTCGCTGCAGCTTCTCCAGAGGTGGCGGCACATGCTGCAGAACCTCCCGAAGTGGCGGTGCTCGCTTCAGCTCCTTGCGTGGTGGTGGCGCCCAGAAACGCACTTTCAACCTGTCATGTCAAGGTCGAAGGAAACTTTGCCGAACTCTCCCCGTATCCTGAGGGCACTACTGTAGAACCTCCAGAGGTGGCAGCACCCGCTGCAGAACCTCCAGAGGTGTCAGTAGTACCCACCTGTGAACTTCCTGTTTGTCCTGTCACGGCTACTGCCTGTCCTGTCACGGCTATGGAGGCCTTTTGTGAACTCTCTGCTCGTCCTGTCATGGCTATGGAGGCCGTCTGTGAACTCACTTCCCGTCCTGTCACGGCTATGGAGGCTGTCTGTGAACTCACTGCCTGTCCTGTCACGGCTATAGAGGCCATTTGTGAACTCTCTGCTCGTCCTGTCACGGCTATGGAGGCCGTCTGTGAACTCACTTCCCGTCCTGTCACGGCTATGGAGGCTGTCTGTGAACTCACTGCCTGTCCTGTCACGGCTATAGAGGCCATTTGTGAACTCTCTGCTCGTCCTGTCACGGCTATGGAGGCCGTTTGTGAAAGAACTGTCTGTCCCATCCATGAGACCGTATATGCTCTGTCTCTCTCTTGTGTCTCAGTTTTCCCCAGGTCCCAGTCCCTACCAGGGAGGACTCCTGTTCCCGAGTATAGCCCACGGAGGTTTCCTGTTCCCAAGTTAAGCCCAGGAAGGGCTCATGTTCCCGAATTAAGCCCAGGGAGGGCTCCTGTTCCCGAGTTAAGCCCACGGAGGGCTCCTGATCCCGAGTATAGCCCAGTGAGTGCTCCTGTTCCCGAGTATAGCCCACGGAGGGCTCCTGTTTCCCTGTTAAGCCCACGGAGGGTTCCTGTTCCCGAGTATAGCCCAGTGAGGGCTCCTGTTCCTGAGTATAGCCCACGGAGGACTCCTGTTAAGCCCAGGGAGGGCTCCTGTTTCCCCGGCTCCAGTGTTGGCTCCAGCCCCGGAGCTCGCTCCAGTGTAGGCTCCAGCCCCAAGACTCACTCCAGTGCCAGCTCCTCGATATCGATTTGCTGTGCCTGTTCCTCCAGAGCACCCTCCAGTGCCAGCACCACGTAAGCGCTATCCTGATCCCCAGTACCGCCCTGGAAGGGCTCCAGACTTTTATATTGAAAGAGAGTGAAACAGGGTTGTAAACAAGGAAGATATATTTACTTTCAACAACACCTTGTAAGGCCCTGTCCCAAATCACACCCTAAACCCTCGCGGTCTTCCTCTGAGCGCACACTTCGTGACGTAATGCCGCTTTGACTGTCGGGTAGAAGTCTGCTGTGGAGCTCGCCTCAGTGCGGGCTTGGCAGAAGTGCGCATCGAGGGAGCATAGGGGTCAAAAGCTTTAGCCAAGGGTGCACCATTCCAGGATATTTATGCTCTGGCAGGCTGGTCCTCTCTGCACACATTCATAAGGTTTTATATTCAGGATGTAGATTCAACCCCAGGATATCAGGTCCTTTCAGATTAATTCCTTCTTACAAACCGTAAGGTTTTAAGAAATGGTAAAACTAAACAACCTTACTGGTCAGCCTTACATGTTACACGTGTTACATGCATAACCGACGATTGTAATTACTGTATACAAAAACATGTCAAACTACAAATAAGTAAGTCAAGTCAAGTCACCTTTATTTATATAGAGCTTTATACAATACATATTGTTTCAAAGCAGCTTTACAGTGTTAAACAGGAAAAACATGTGTTGATAATGCAAGAGGTAACACAAATCAATTGAAAACAGTCAGTTTATCAGTTAAATTCAGTTCATTGTTGATTCAGTTATGTCATCGTCCAGGTGTGTGTTTCCCGTACAACAACGTAACTCACTGATTAACCACCATAGTACAATGCATTGTTGTGTAAACTAACTAGCCAGTCACAACTGTTTTCCAAACATGGTCGCATCTCCGTCATTTGAACCACATTAGTTCAACAATTTAGGGCCATTGTTAATGACGTCACACGCATGTGGTGGAGTAATAACTTCTGCTAATTAATTGATTCGCGATTTCTGAGATGCTGCTGTATTGAACATGGCACCTGATGACTAATTTACTATGTTTTGTTCCCTGTCATTTTGCTTTATTTGATGTTTGATTCATCATGAGTTTCCTCTTACGTCATACTCCGGGTTTCCCTTATGCACATGAGCACTCTTCAAAAACGGCGCTTATTGAGGATGTGCTAAAATATATAGATTAAAATGTATATATATTTAAATAGAATGGAAGATATAGATTGTACTGCATGCTAGCTTGCTTATTGTGCCCAAAAGCATAGCTTATTTAAGTCCACATGTCTTACTAACAAGAAACGTACTCGG